AGAATATGGCCTACCCTTTGCCTTGTCTAACCTATTTTCCCTTTGTTCAATGCCTTTCCTGTAAATTACAGCAAACCTAGCCTACTTTCCTACTTGCCCAACCCACCCGAGGGATGGTTTATGCTCTTACGAGCCAATTTTTGGAGGGTTTTCCATTTGTTCACCATCCTTGCCCAAATATTATGAAATTTCCACCAAATATGGCCTATCTTGTCACTTGTTGAACCTATTTTCCCTCTGTTTGTCGCATTTGTCCCAAATTGCACCAAATATGGCCTACCCCGTCACTTATTCAACCCATTTTCCCTTTGTTCATTGCCTTTACCCAAAATTGCACCAAACCTAGACTACTTTCTTTCTTTCCCAACCCACCCGAGGGACGGTTTATGCTCTTAGGAGCTAATTTTTGGTGGGATTTCCCTTTGTTCACCATCCTTGCCCAAATTTGCACCAAATATAGCCTATCCTATCACTTGTCCATCCCATTTTCCCTTTATTCATTGCCTTTGTACAAGATTGCACCAAACCTAGCCTAGTTTCTTGGATTTTGTTCCTTTCGGTAAATATATATGGGTGATCGCCTAAGTGATCACTCTAGTTGAATTTTAGCCTCTCGGTTGGAGATGGTTGCATGCTTGGTTCATCCCATTCAACTTTGGATGGTGTTGATGGTGGGTTCGTTTTGTTGGAAATTGGTATTTTGACTAGTCCCAAGCAAATTATCCTCTTCCTATAGTTGATGTTGGATGAGTTATGACACGGGTTGCCTATTGATTTCCGACCCGGACAATTTTAGGGGTCTACAGTGTACATGGTCATAACTCCTATGGTAGTAGACCTAGTATTAGGGATGATCTTAGGGAATTAAAAGAGTACATAAGAGAAAAAGAAGAAGAAAACATAAGAAGAGAAGAAGAGCTTAGGAGAAGAGAAAAAGAAAATGCAAAGAATAATGAGGAAATAAGAAATTTACTTGCAAAATTGGTTGTAGAAACTAGTGGATCCAAATCTAGGGTTGCTCCAACTAGGTCTCAAATAGGCAAAGGGGTTAGAATCCCTAAGAGTATGCATGAGGAAGAAAATACAAAAAGAGAGGAAGAACTTAGAAGAGATGAAAAAAGAAAAGAAAATACAAATAAAGAAAGAAAAAAAGAAGAAAAGTAGAGAGAGAGTTGAAGAGTGGTTAAAAAAAAAAACAACAAACAATACTCTTAGAGAAGAGAAGGAGGATAACATTTCTTCCCAAGGGCCTATGCTTAAAGAAGCTTAAGAAGAATCAAGGAGCCAAAGATCTAGGGAGGAGCTTGAAGAGGAATCAACATCAATCCGGTTTCTCAACAAGTTTTCCATCACCTAGCCTAGTTTCTATCACTCCCAACCCACCCGAGGGACGGTTTATGCTCTTTTCAGCTAATTTTTGGTGGGTTTTCCCTTTGTTTACCATCCCTGATCAAATTTGCACCAAATATTCCCTACCCTATCACTTGTCTAGCCTATTTTCCCTTTGATCATCATCCCTGCCCAAAATTGCACCAAACCTAGCCTACTTTCTTTCCTGCCCAACCCACTCGAGGGAAGGTTTTTGCTCTTACGAGCTAATTTTTGGTGGGTTTTCCCTTTGTTCACCATCCTTGCCCGAATTTGCACTAAATATGGTCTACCGTTTCCCTTGTCCAACCCATTTTCATCCTTGGCCAAAATTGCACCAAACCTAGCCTAGTTTCTATATCTCCCAACCCACCCGAGGGACGGTTTATGCTCTTTGGAGCTAATTTTTGGTGGATTTTCCTTTTTTTTTTATCATCCTTAACTGAGTTTGCACCAAATATGCCCTACCCTATCACTTGTCTAGCCTATTTTTCCTTTGATCATCATCCTTGCCCAAAATTGCACCAAACCTAGTCTACTTTCTTTCATGCCCAACCCGCCCGAGGGACGACTTATGTTCTTACGAGCTAATTTTTGGTGGGTTTTCCCTTTGTTCAGAATCCTTGACCGAATTTGCACTAAATATAGCCTACGCTTTCCCTTGTCTAGCCCATTTTCCCTTTCTTCATCATCCTTGCCCAAAATTTCACCAAACCTAGACTAGTTTGTATCCTACCCAACCCACCCGAGGTACGGTTTATGCTCTTACGAGCTAATTTTTGTTGGGTTTTCCCTTTGTTCACCATCGTTTCCTGAATTTGCACCAAATATGGCCTACCCTTTCCCTTTTCCAGCCTATTTTCCCTTTGTTCATCATCCTTGCCCAAAATTTCACCAAACCTAGACTCGTTTGTACCCTTCCCACCCCACCCGAGGTACGGTTTATGCTCTTACGAGCTAATTTTTGGTGGGTTTTCCCTTTGTTTACCATCCCTGACCGAATCTACACCAAATATTTCACTTGTCCAGCCCATTTTCCTTTTGTTCATCATCCTTGCCCAAAATTGCACCAAACCTAGCCTTCTTTCTTTCCTGCCCAACCTACCCGAGGGACGGTTTATGTTCTTACGAGCTAATTTTTGGTGGGTTTTCCCTTTGTTCACCATCCTTGCATGAATTTGCACAGAATATGGCCTACCCTTTGCCTTGTCTAACCTATTTTCCCTTTGTTCAATGCCTTTCCTGTAAATTACAGCAAACCTAGCCTACTTTCCTACTTGCCCAACCCACCCGAGGGATGGTTTATGCTCTTACGAGCCAATTTTTGGAGGGTTTTCCATTTGTTCACCATCCTTGCCCAAATATTATGAAATTTCCACCAAATATGGCCTATCTTGTCACTTGTTGAACCTATTTTCCCTCTGTTTGTCGCATTTGTCCCAAATTGCACCAAATATGGCCTACCCCGTCACTTATTCAACCCATTTTCCCTTTGTTCATTGCCTTTACCCAAAATTGCACCAAACCTAGACTACTTTCTTTCTTTCCCAACCGACCCGAGGGACGGTTTATGCTCTTAGGAGCTAATTTTTGGTGGGATTTCCCTTTGTTCACCATCCTTGCCCAAATTTGCACCAAATATAGCCTATCCTATCACTTGTCCATCCCATTTTCCCTTTATTCATTGCCTTTGTACAAGATTGCACCAAACCTAGCCTAGTTTCTTGGATTTTGTTCCTTTCGGTAAATATATATGGGTGATCGCCTAAGTGATCACTCTAGTTGAATTTTAGCCTCTCGGTTGGAGATGGTTGCATGCTTGGTTCATCCCATTCAACTTTGGATGGTGTTGATGGTGGGTTCGTTTTGTTGGAAATTGGTATTTTGACTAGTCCCAAGCAAATTATCCTCTTCCTATAGTTGATGTTGGATGAGTTATGACACGGGTTGCCTATTGTTCATGAGATTTTATTGCCCAGAAGACTTTTCCATTGAGATTTTCTTCTCTCGGACATTTGCTCCCTGTAGACCCCTAAAATTGTCCGGGTCGAAAATAAA